TAGATATTACAAGTAATTGTCTGAGGGTATGTTAAAAAAAAGGCAGTTTTAAAAGATCATTGAATATATATCTAAGTTTATAATCAAAATTTAAAAAAAAGATATTAAGTTAAGAAACATTTTTGAAAAATTTTCATGTTGAAAAGAAAAATTTTCAAAAATTGTAAAACAAGAAGATTTTTTTTTACTGCATTTACATGTAGATGTAAAAGATATTTTTTTTTTATCTATATCAGAGTTGGGAAAATATTTTTTTTCACAACTTTACAAGTAATTTCATGTATATGTTAATATTTATACATATAAAGAAACTGAGAGAAAAGGTTTTCTTTTAGGTATGAACATATAAATATATATATAAAAAAGATAGTCTCAGAATTTTACATATTTATATATGTGGATATGTACGGATATTTCTTTATAAGGAAGTTGCATGTCTGTTTTTAAATATATGTATAATGAAGAAAATTTGTGTGCATTCAAAAGGAAATTACTTTTGAAAAAGCAACATCTTATTTTTTAGTTTTGTGTTTGATGGGTTTACAAGTTTTAAATGTTCATACACAATCAAGAAGAGAGTTGAAACACAATTCAATTTCATGTTTCTATGCTTAGATTATTTTTTTATATGGATAAATGTGAATTAGAAAAAAGGTTTCATTTGTAAGTTTATGAACAAGAGTGTTTTTTGGTCTCTGTCTCTGCTGATGTTTGCCTGTGATTTAAAAAGACACTCTTTTGGTTATTAAAAAAATGTATATACATTTATGTCTCATGTATGCATAAGAACATTAATGGGATATTTCTAAGTGATAAAATGAATAGAGAAAAGTAAACATGTCTATTTTCTACACAAGTATGTGTTACATATTTAGTGTGTCGACTTAACAAATAAGAAAATATTATTTGCAGGTATGTGTAAAAGAATGGAAATTAAAAGCTAAGATGATTACAAAGAAGTTATCAGAAAAAAATAAAAGAAATACAAGAAATAAATGCTGAGAGACGGAAAAAGTGAATCAAGTCGTGTAAAAGAGACAGGAGATTAAGATGGTGACATCTGGACAGGAAGAGACGTTGACAACAGCAGTGCAACCGAATCAAGAATGAGGTGCATTGGTGAAAGGCAGTAATGTGATTCTGCAGAGATGTGACAGAAAAGAAAATATATAGAAAGAAAGACAGACCGAGAACAGGTATGAAGAATCAAGTGTGATGAGATAGCAACAGGTGTGGTAATGGGGAGAATCCTTTCTTTTTGTGTTTTTTACTTTTTTCTGGTATTTAATGTTCTTTTTCTTATTGATTCTGTTGATTTTTCCAAAGATGTATATATATATATATATATATATATATATATATATATATATATATATATATATATATAGAAAAGGGGACACAATATAGTGAAATTTGGGCAATTAAGGATTGCTAAAAGAAAATGAAAATTTATATGGTTATTATTTTTTGTTTCTTATGCATTTCTATTGCTGTGAATTTTTTCTTTCTTTTTCTGTCTCTATTTGATTTGGTTTTATATGAAAGAATAGAACCAAGCCACTGTCATCTTCAGGTAAGTATATATGTATGTATATATATATATCTATATATATATAAGAGAGAGAGAAAGAAGTAGATGGCGTCAGTAGTGGCAAAGAAAACTTGCACAATACTACAGTATCAAAGATGCTTGCTGCTGCTGCTGCTGCTGCTAGCGCCAGCATTACTGCTGAAGGAGCAGCCTTCACAATCTCTGTGAATTGAATGATGGTAGAGGAAAAATCCACATAACTGCCCACACGCTAACCACCACATGCCTGTATATGCTTAAGTGAGAACAAGTTCAGGAAAACTGTAAAGATGTTTTGAGATGATGGACATCTGTGCAGACAGTGTTACTTCTGCTAAGTTAAGGTAGTGCTTTCACGGCTCCTTCACTCAACAGCAGGTGTATACTGTCATACCTACCTACTTACCTATCTTACCTTATATTCTCCACCCATTTCTTTCTGTTCTACCCTCCCTCTACTATGACCCTTGACCTCTCATAAAGCCCTCCCATATCAATCCATTACTTTCTGAACTGAAACAGAATCACTTGCTTTTCTCTCTCCACAGGTGGTTTGCCTTGACAATTAATAAATCCCACCCAGTTTGTTTTATTGTTTTCTGTTTGTAATAGTTTACTGAAATAAATTTAAGACCATGCCTCTGTGCTAATGTCTTTGCGATTGCTGGTTCAAATTTCAGCATGGTGCACTGGCTGTTTAAATCAACTTATTAAGTTTCTCTATATAAGAGAAAGAATTTTCATTATGATTCAATGATGTTCTCAAAATTCTGTATCTGTTGTCACCATTATTTTCCTATCTTGCTTACATATCTTTCTCTTACATTTTTCATCAAGTTTGATTAAAACTTGATGATATATTATGAGTTACATCTTTATCGTCAGGTGTTTCAACTTGGTGATATATCTACAATAATAACTAGTTTGAGGACAGGTGAGTTGTATTTGGGGTTTGTTTCCAGTTTGACTAAAAATGAAGTTAGTAGTCTAAAGAAATCATTTGTAATTTTAAATAACACAGAGTCAATAGGGATGTTGATATTTTTGTTTTCAAATATAATATAAGCCTATTAAACTTTCACATGTTTTTTTAATATTATGCTATTGAATTTTGTCACTTATTGTGAAGTTAATTTGTGTCAATCTCTTCATAACACTTGTTTTATCCTTTACTTTTTCTCATAATTTCATGCCATTATTTTCTGTTAATTTTAAAATTTTTATTTTAAAATTAAGATGTTTTTAAGTTTCAGATTTGATTTTGTCAAAATCAAGTTTATTTCTGAACTAAGTTTATTGCTTCCTAATGACAAATATTTTTGTCTTAATTATTGTTAAAATAAATTGACTAAGTTCTTTTAAATATTTCAAATTTATTCTTTATTGCTCATGACAAATCATTTCTTTTATTTTTATCAGAATAAGGTTTTTTTTCTCTTAATTGCAAGGAAGAAATTTTAATCTGAAATGAATGCTTCCTTTATATTTTCATATTTTTCCATCTCCAAAAATCAATTACTAATTATGGTTCAGGATCATTTTTGTCATTTTATAAAGTATCCAAAACTTCTCAGACGCCAATTACACTTTTTAATATGTGATCCCATTTAATTTTTTTTTAATGTTTGATGTATTATATATTCTGAATGAATGGGTGAAAAATAAAATTTTTAACCCCTCAGTATTAAAGGCATGAAAACATGTCCCTCACATCTTTTATTTGTGGTATTCAAAAATAAAATTCAAGTACCTCTTTTATTTTATTTAGAAATTTTAAATGGTTTTGTTAATTTAGTTCAATTTCAGTTTGGTCCTTTAGAATGTATATATATATATATATATATATATATATGAATAAAACATTATATATATATATATATATATATATATATATATATGAATAAGACATATATATCTATATATATATCTATATATATATATATATATATATATATGTAAAATTAGGTGATTAGCTGATTCTGCTACCTTGGATTCAATCTTTCAGTATTTTCAGGTGATTTCGGTCAATTCAATTTTGAAATTGTCTGAAGATACCAAGAAGTTGAAACCAAGATAGTGGAATCAGCTGATCTCCTAATTTTTTATACATTTATTGAGCACTTTTTAATACTGCCCTTTTCCTGGACTAATTCAACTCTGACCATTAGCTTTTATTATTATTATTATATAAACAAGTAACATCCTGAATATAATTCTAAAACAAAGAAGTGTTCTATTATTGATATTTTAAAAATTCTGCTTTCATACAAAAAAAAAGAAATGAGCCAAAATATACATTTACACACAAAGTTTTTCAATTTAATAATATCAAATAATATCTTATTAGTACAAGAGATGTCAGTAAAAATTGGGGAATGAATGAAATGAAAATCCATATTACCATTAAAATTGATAAAAATTAATTAAAATTGACAAAAATGTCATTAAAATTCATTAAAAATTCCATCAACATTTTAAATTAAAATTATATTTTCATATTGCAATTAAATTTTTGAATGTCTGTTTTCTTCTTCTGTCTAAGAATAAGACATTCTAAAAGGCTTCATTAATTAGTCACCTTTCAAATGGGAACCTAGTTCTTTAGCATATATTAATAAGTGCTAACTTGCACATAATTCTTTAAAAAGGTTAACGCAGTTTCTGTTTTCCTTTTCTTCATTTTCATCCTCATTCCTTTTCTTCTTTTTTATTCACTTTCCTTTTCTATCTTTTCATCCTCTTTTCTCTTCTTCTTCATCCTTCATTTTCATCTTTCTTTTTCTTATTTCATCTTCTTTATTTTCATCCTCATTAATTTCTGTTTTATATTAATAAATAAGTGCTATCTTGAATATAATTCTTAAAAAAGGCTACAGCAGTTTTTATTCTTGATATTGTAAATGTTAAGCTGAAATATACAGTTACACAATATGTTATTGAATTTAATTAATTGCTTGGACTCATATCTTCATTTGTCATATTCTCTTAAAAATCTAATTATATTATTCAAGGCATGTTACTCCAAATTGAAGAATCATTGAAATTAAAATCTATATTTTTGACGCTACCAAAATTATGTACTAAGTTATTGATATAAACTAATATTTATTTCCATGCTAATTTGTTTTTTAAACCACTAGGAAAAAATCTGCATTAATAATAATACAATATTTTGATAGATATTTTTCAGTAGGGAATGAATTTTCTACATTTACAGGATACTTTGTTGTACATATTGGCTCCATTGGAGCAATGAATACACTTTTTGCATGTTTTTAATATTTAGCATTATTTTATCAAAGAAAAACATGAAATAAGAATTGAATAAGTCAAGAACAAAAATCTTACAAGGGAAATCCACTTATTCAAATGGAAAAATTAACGAAAGAGAGAGAGAGACTTAGAAAAGGAGGGATGAGAGTTAAAATCACTAAAAAGAGGGAAAAGAAGAAAGGGGAAACATGTGGAAGAAAAGGAAGGAAATAGAGCATGAATAAAAGAGGATGGAAAAAGGAGAAAAGATGAAAAAGAAGATGAAAGAAAGAAAGAGGAGGAAGAAAAGGAAGGAAAGAGAAAGAATGAAAAGAAGAAAAGGAAGTGGAGGATGAAAAAAGAAAGGGAAAGAGGATGAAAAAGAAGAAAGGGAATGAGTAAAAAAAGAAAAAAGGAATGGGATGAAAGAAGAAAAGGGAAGAGGATGAAAGTAAAGAAAAGGAAAGAGAGAGATAAAGAAAAGAAAAGAAGATGAAAATGAAGAAAAGGAAAGAAGATAAAAATGAAGAAAATGAAAGAGGATGAAAGTGAAGAAAAGAAAAGAGAGAAAAAGAAGGAAAGAGAAGAGGGAGATAAAAAAGGAAAGAGGATGAAAATGAAGAAAAGGAAAGAGTACAAAAGAGAAGTAAAGGAAAAAAGATGAAGGAGAAGAAAATGATAGAGGATGAAAATGAAGAAAAGGGAAGAGGTCGAAAAAGAAAAAAGAAAGAGGACAAAAAGAAGAAAAGGAAAGGGAAGGAAAAGGAAGAAAGGATGAAAAAGAAGAAAAGAGAAGAGGATGGAAAAGAAGAAAAGAGAAAAGGATGAAAAAGAAGAAAAGGGAAGAGGATGAAAAAGAAGAAAAGGGAAGAGGATGAAAAAGAAGGAAAGAGAAGAGGATGAGAAAGAAGAAAAGAGAAAAGGATGAAAAAAAAGAAAAGGGAAGAGGATGAAAAAGAAGGAAAGAGAAGAGGATGAGAAAGAAGAAAAGAGAAAAGGATGAAAAAGAAGAAAAGGGAAGAGGATGAAAAAGAAGGAAAGAGAAGAGGATGAGAAAGAAGAAAAGAGAAAAGGATGAAAAAGAAGAAAAGGGAAGAGGATGAAAAAGAAGAAAAGAGAAGAGGATGGAAAAGAAGAAAAGAGAAAAGGATGAAAAAGAAGAAAAGGGAAGAGGATGAAAAAGAAGAAAAGGGAAGAGGATGAAAAAGAAGAAAAGAGAAAAGGATGAAAAAGAAGAAAAGGGAAGAGGATGAAAAAGGAAAGAGAAGAGGATGAGAAAGAAGAAAAGAGAAAATGATGAAAAGAAGAAAAGGAAGAGGATGAAAAAAAGAAGAAAAGGAAGAGGATAAAAAGAAGAAAAGAGAAGAGGATGAAAAAGAAGGAAAGAGAAGAGGATGAGAAAGAAGAAAAGAAAGGATGAAAAAGAAGAAAAGGAAGAGGATGAAAAGAAGGAAAGAGAAGAGTATGAGAAAGAAGAAAAGAGAAAAGGATGAAAAAAAAAGAAAAGGGAAGAGGATGAAAAGAAGAAAAAGAAGAGGATGGAAAAGAAGAAAAGAGAAAAGGATGAAAAAAGAAGAAAAGGGAAGAGGATGAAAAAGAAGAAAAGGGAAGAGGATGAAAAAGAAGAAAAGGGAAGAGGATGAAAAAGAAGAAAAGAGAAAAGGATGAAAAAGAAGAAAAGGGAAGAGGATGAAAAAGGAAAGAGAAGAGGATGAGAAAGAAGAAAAGAGAAAATGATGAAAAAGAAGAAAAGGGAAGAGGATGAAAAAGAAGAAAAGGGAAGAGGATAAAAAAGAAGAAAAGAGAAGAGGATGAGAAAGAAGAAAAGAGAAAAGGATAAGAAAGAAGAAAAGGGAAAACAAAGAAAATATGATGAAAACACAAAATGAAAAAGGATGAAAATTAAGAAAAGAGGATGAAAATGAAGAAAGGAAAGAGGAAGAAAGGACAAAGAGAAAAAGAATTTAAAAATGTAGAGGAAATAGAATAAGAAAGAGAGGAAAAACATAAATAGTAAGAAAAAAAATTAAATTAAGAAAACAAGGAAGAAACAAGAAGAAAAAGAAAAGAAAGAAAAAGAGGAGGAAGAGAAAAAATGTGAGAGAAGTGAAGGAAGAAAAGGTTCAAAAAATAATGATTACTACTATGGCCAGAAATGCAAATGTATTTGGCAGGGAGGAGAAACAAGACTGGCAGACCATAAAAAAAAAAAGGCAAAAAACAATAGAATAAAGAATAATGATTGAATTAAAAGAGCATGCAATTTTCTAGGCAGGATTTTAAAGAAGGAATGCAGAATAAAATAACACTGAAGAAAAAGGCAAAAGAAAGCAAAAGGATACAAACAAAAACATTCCAAGAAATGAGGTAAAAAAAAAAAATAAAAGAATGAAAGTATGAAACTGGACTAAAAAAATAGAAGAGAAAAATAAGAAACAAAGTGATGAATGAAGAGGGAAGGTCAGAAGAAAGAGATAAATATAAACACAGTGTATCGGAGGATGGGTGTATCAGAAAGAGCAAGAAAGAAAGAAGCCAATAGAATGAGAAGAAAATAATCATTATTTTTTTTAATATATTTTCTAATTGTACACATGCAAATACCTATATATGCAGGAGATAAAAAAAATTGCCCCTGGTCAGATTTGAACTTGACGGGGTTCTACTAAGGAGTTAAGAATTCCCCTTAAGTGCATTATTGACTCATAATGTTGAATGCTAAGCAAGAATGAGTGTTTTATTTTCAGTGGATGATTTTTTCTTTTTTAAGCTTACCAATTCTTTTCATTTTCTCGCTAATCAGCTGAAAATTTTCAGATAATGCAAAGAGAATTTTTTTTTCCTTTTTTAAAAAAGAGTCTCTTTTCTTATTGTCACTTACCAAGAGATTGGCTGCTATCTTTTTTTTTTAATTTAAATGACTGAACAAGAAATTCTTTAAAACACGAACACAAAGAAATTTTTCATTATAATTTCTAAGTTTTAACAAATATATTTTCTGTGCTGAGATAAAAATACAAATGAATATTAATAAAACTGTTTGGAGAGTCAAGTGCATCTGTTTTTTAGATTTTACAAATATATTATGAGAAATTTACTGCAAATAAATGCTGGTCTTATATGTAAAAGAAATAATTGGGAATAATACAATGTAGAAGATGAAATTGAATGAAAAATGATATTATGAACTATTATCAAATACATTTGACATTCATTTACTATAATAAATATATCCCATATTCATTCACTTGATATTTTTTAATGACCGAAGTGTACTATTGTTAGAGTTATCATAATATTATTAAACAGTTATATTCAAAACTGTGGACTTAGTAGAAATCTACTATGGTTTATATTTTTTGTCAGTTAGTATGAAGACAGTGGCAAACTATTTAGAAGGTCATTTTTCAGGTGATGGTTCAAGTGTCAGTGTTTCAAATATAAAATAGTTTGAAAAGATTTTTAAAAATCTAGCATAGTATCTGTCAAAAACAATGATGATGAAATGAATGTTATGTTCTCCACTTTATGAAAATAGCAATACACACACACACACACACACACATATATCTATCTATATATATATATATATATATATATATATATATATATATATATATATATATGCACATTTCATTGAATATGACAGACAAGGTGCTCTGATTTAGTTTTTTATACAATTTCTCATCTGATCTAATAATTTTTTTTCTTTTCAGATGATAAATTATATAAAAACTGTCTGAATGTTCTTTTAATCCAAGTGCTTTCGGCTATACATGAGAAATTGTATAAAAAACTAAATCAAAGCACCTTGTCTAACGTATTCAATGAAATGTGCATGAAAGAAGGATTGCTGCCTAAATACACAAATTCTATGATAACTGTTTCTTTTCTTGCACTTCTCGTTTGTGAAACTCCCTTCCAGTTCCATGCTTTCCAGAACAACTTTAATCTGCAAAAATCTGAATGCAGTGTCTCAAATTACTCTTTCTTTTTTCCACTCATTATTAATGTTCCTAATTCTTCCACACCCTGTAACCCCTTCTATCTTAGTGGCTTTACTTTCCTACATGGGATGATACCAATTAAATATATATATAAAAGACATTTTATGTTTATACATTCTTTTTATAGATACAAATATTTAAGTAAATGCTCTGTTTATAATAAACAGTATTAAACAACATTTACCAGCCTGAATATCCGAGAAATCTTCATAGAAAATATTTGTCCTCTGACAGGAATTGAACATGTATCCTATACAGAACCGTCATATCGCCTGACGTGCCTTTTAACCAATATTTCAGCAAGAACTCTCACATATATGTTTTGTCAAATAATATGGAAAAGTTCTATCAATGTTTTTATTAAATCTATCAATTTTCCAAATGAGTTGTTTTGTTTTAATAGTGAATTTGCCAAAATTCATATTAACGTTTATTTTAGATTATTTTTTTTTCTTCCCAGGTTGTTTCCAGTAATACAACACACACACACACACACACACAAATATATATATAGAGATAAGTATCTTTTAATATCTATCTATCTATCTATCTATCTATCTATCTATCTATATGATAGATAGATAGATAGATAGATAGATAGATAGATAGATAGATATTAAAAGATACTTATCTTTATATTGCTTGGTACATAATTTTCTTTGTTCATCAAGCATTGTGCTATATTGGTAACCATGCTATAGTTGTTTGATATATACTATACACACATTTCTGTGTGAGAGTGCAACACAATTTATCCTTTAAAAAGTTTTCATGAGACTAAATTATGATTCTTCTAATGTCCTTTTAAAGGGTGAAACAAATATTTTCTCATTTCATCATTGTTTTGATACACAGAAATGTACATATCATATTCTCATATATATATATATATATATATATATATATATATATATATATATATATATATGTATATTTTGATCTAACATTTTATTACTTCCAACGTTATTCTAGAGTATAATCATCATACCAGATCAAATGGTGTTTGATCCTACAAAGGGGGATAGGATGCAGATTCAATCCATATTGAAGAGGATATATTTTATTGAGATTTCTTGAATGCACAGGTTGATAGACATAACACATAATGTTTAAATTAAAAATAAATGTAGAGTATCCACTATAATAATGAATGAAGTAATATAAGTGGCAGTTTAATAAATGATTCTTAGAAATATATGTTTGCACACCATAAAAAATCTAAAATATATATATATATATATATGTATATATATATATATATATATATATATATATATATATATATATATATATATGTTAAGAAATGGACAAGGTCCGACAACAATTTATTTATTAAAGACATTTTATTTTTTTTTATATTTAACGTTGTTATTTATAGATACATTTGCTTAATACTTGTATCTATAAATAACAACGTTAAACATAAAAAAAAATCTTTATTATATATATATATATATATATATATATATATATATATAGCTACAAAAAAAACATATTATATAAATGTTAAACATAAAGGCAGAAATAGCTCTGAAATTTACATTTACTTATACAGACTTCAATATTTCTAATTTAAGTTATATGAAAGATATATATTCATATTGATATATATATATATATATATATATATATATATATATATATGTGTGTGTATGTATGTATGTGTGTGTGTATATATGTGTGTGTGTGTGTTAAGTAAGCCAAGTTAAATATCAATATACACTGGATATCAAAATCTAAAGCTGAGCATCTTTCTATTTTTAATATTTCAATGTAAACTGTAACCAGTGTTTTACTCTATTTTCCTTCTCAGAACAAATTCAGTTTATTTTTTTAAAAATGTCACCCTAGCATGAAATTTCTAGAATCATGTATAAGTATAGTAGTTTTAAAAGTATAAATATGACTCTCTGGAACCTTGTAGTGTTTTCTGGAGTCTTCTAGAACTTGCTTTTGATTATTTGCAAGTTTGTATGTTATGCTAAAATTATAAACGTTTCAATGCATTAAAAACACATAAATATAATCCAATTACATCATTAGCAAATTGAAAAAGAAAGTTTGTAATTTTTGTTTATTTGTAAGCTTGTATGTTATGTTATAAACTGTTAAATGTGGTTAAAAATACATAAGTACAATCCAATTACATTATGAACTGATTGAAAAATAAATATTGTGTATATGGTAAAATTAAATCTTTGGTTTTGGGGTTGACTTTTTTTGAGAATTGAAACAAATTGATGCCTTTTTCATTACTTTTAATCAAAAGTTTATCAATTTATGACATAGAAACATAGGGATGCAAAAAAGTCATAATCCTTACAAATATATATATATATATATATATATATATGTGTGTGTGTGTATTATTATTATTATTATTATTATTGCTCACTCATAATTCCTTTTCTTTTTGTCTGTGAACTTTGTTCTTTATATGATCCCCAAAATGGAAATTACTTACAACTCAAACTAATGAATACTGGTATTTCTGTGGACATTAACTACTGATTTGCTTCATACAACAACAGGCTTACAATCATATCATGTTGAAACACTGGTACTCGTATGATCACTGAAGTTAAGCAACATTTAGTCTGGTCAGTAACTATATAGGTGACCACTTGGAAATACCAGAAGTTGTAAGTTTACATGTGCTGGTGGTGTAACAGATTATGGCTCAGAATTAGAAATCATGGAGCGAAGTTCTAATCCTAGTCAAGTTTGTTATATTCACTTATGTGCAAATACTTTAGGGAAAGGTATGAATCCATCTCTTCTCTCCCAAGCTATGGGTTAATTAGTAGGATTTGTATTAGTAAATTATTATTATATTACCAAAAATTCTAACAATCCAAAAACATTGAAATAACTGGCAAAAGGTTGATAGTCTGTCTATATTTCTGAGATGAGGTATTATGTACATTATTTACATTATTCGGACTATTGTAAATAAAAGTTTGATAGTAAAAAACAATACAATCAATTAATCACTACAACA